ACAGATTTATAATTCTATTAGAATGAGTATTAAAGAGCATAAGCAAACTTAATTGTATTATTTAATTATTGAAATGAACTTAAAGTTTAAACAGACACTTGTCTTTATTTTAATGATATTACCTGTAATAGGTATTGCTGTTATTCCTAGAGATACTTTATCATTTATTTTAAAAGCCATGATTATATTTATATATATAGGAGGCATCATATTGTTATACTTACATCAAAAACAAACTTTAGAATTATAAAAAATATTATTAATAGGTCAATCTGGTGTTGGAAAAACATAAACTTACAATTATTTAAAATGCAAAACTATAATGAACTTTGATAAATTTTAATTGGGAAAAATAGGAGATCTTTGTATAGTTGACACACCAACTATGGATTTAGAATCTAGTATTGCTAATAGAGAGAATACTATTTCATAATTTTAAAAATTCTTTATTAATTTTAAGAATTCAATTAGTGCAATTATAATCGTTGTAAATTTTGAAAGAACTGATATTATGAAACGAAAATTAATTGAAATCATCAAATATTTCAAAAAATTTTAGAATATGATTTACATACTAATAACTGATTTTCACTTAAGTGAAGATCATGATAATGATAAATCAAAATTATTATAATCCTTATAATATTTACATCCCTAAGGAATTATTTTTTTGAATAAAGAAGAAAATGAACAGATGATTATAGAGGAATTGAATGCAATTGAACGAAAATCCACTCATTAAGAGTTTGATATTAATGATACAATATTTGCAATTATAAATGAAAAAATGAATGCATCCTTTATGGATTAAATTAATTTAATCATTAAATCTCCAAAGTAATATTTTATTAATTTTAGGTAGTCCTCTGCATGAAGTTTTGATTAAGAAAAATTTATAGAAATGATGATTATTGAATTTTATTAAACATTATTATATTATATATTTACTCATTGTATATTACTAAAAGGATGGATTTTAACAACTAATCATTATTTAGATGATAAATCCATACTCAAAATTTCTGTAATTTTAGAAAGAAATCCTGAGTATTTAGAATAATTACATTTAAAGCTTTGTTATGTTCATAAGGATATTAATTATATTAAAAATCTAGTATTAAGGGTAAATTAAATGATTTGGTTTGATAATTTTTATTTTTGATGATCTGGTGGATCTTAAGGATTACTAACTTTTAGATTATTTCTGGTGAAATGTTATTCGAAATGGCTTTGTCTTTCTGTTCCAAATAAAAATGAAATTCGGTTTAAAAATTCGACATATTTAACACAATTCTAAGTATTTAGATGGTATACTTTTAATTATAAATTAGATAAATGGATCTTGGGTGTAAAAAGAAATTTCTAACCTTCAAATTTTAGAGCATGCAGTTTACTATGCCTACATTCATAGGAACTAGTTATATTTGATCAACTTGTATAATAAAATAGATATATTTGATCTAGGAATATCTCTGTAGCATAATTGTGGCTTGATTTAAGAAGATAAATTAATATTTATAAATTAGATTATCAACTACTTTAATATTAATTTAGAGATTTTAAATAGTTGAAGGTTAAACTATAACAAAATACTAGATATTATTTTAATTGAAATCTGAGAAATGTAAATTATCAATATAAATATATATTGTTTTGTGATTTTTTTATAGTAAATACTTATTTAGAAAAATATTTTACAGCATGACTAAAATTAAGGAAAATTAATGAAAACAGAATGTATTTCTGCTTATTCAATTTTGAGATATTTAATAAAACTAATCAATCATTATATTGTTTAATTTCATTTTTAATTTTGTAGTTGCAAATGACCAAATTTTCTCAATTAAAATTGATTATTATGCATCATTATTTTTTCTAATAGCATAATTAATCTATTGTGGAAGCCGATTGTTTTTTAAGATATCTGATTATGGAAATGAAGAATTCAGAGTATTTAGAAAGTAGAACTTAAATTGCATCGTTAAAGTTGATCTTCAAATTTTGATAATCATCATAAAAATTCATACTTTATAAAAATTAGAAAATGGATCAGTTATATTTTTGATTAATTTATCAAAATAATATACATTCTATCGGTAGATATGATATATCTATAATAATTGATAGGCTTAATTCCTAAAGAATCAGAAATTGAACATTAAAAAATGAAAATATTTTAATAAATAGATAGCTATAGTAAAATACTAATTAATTGAATATTGGATACA